AATTATATCCTAATTTCCATATTATATTATTATCAATATCTATTAGTTAATATTTGTAACTTATGTGTAGATTCATTCCAAGAAGAGGAATAGGCTTGCACTATCGCGTCTCAATGATCTAGTGTACATTAAGTACAATAGAACATTGAAACGTCGTTATGATGCTCGTGATCTCATTGATCCAATTCGCTTGGATAACATTGATGATTCAAATGAATGGTTAGTTGGATGCCTCGAAGATCAAGAAGATGAACTAGTATATGAGGATGATGATCTTACTTGGGGTAGTGTTGCTACGGCAATTGGAGCTGATGAAAGTATCTATCATCTTAGGGGACTTTCTTCAAGATCAAGTGCACTTGACAAGGGCAAAGGAGTAGAAACTACATCTACAAGTTCAACTTCAAGTAGGACTCGGACACTAATTGATGAAGACTACGAGGAGGAAGAAGATGAGGAGCAATATAATGATGTAGAGGATGTTGATCTTCAAGAGTTGGATAGTTTTGAAGAAGAATAGACTTTTAGAGTTCTAGTATTATCTTTTGAATTATTGGGTCTTTAAAGTTCTAGACTTTTAGTATCTACTTTTAGTTTTTGAATTGAAATATTTGCTAATATATGTTATTGCTATTGAAATTTTGGATATTTATATATGCAATTATATATTTTTAATTTTTGGTACTAATTGGCGCCTCAATTCAAAAAGGCGAGCCGCTCGCCGAGCCGCGTGGCGAGGCAGGCCCTTGTCGCCTTTTGTCGCCTCTCGCCATCCAAAACACTGAGTCCAATCCACGGTACGTAGATGGCCTTCGTAGAAGTTGTCGATAGTTTTTTCCTTCAGGGTTGTTTTGATCTTTTCCCACTCTTTTAATTCTTATACTATATCGTTTTAGCCTAATTTAAGAGGGATTAACCGGAACTTAGTCAACCTAAACCTTCTCATTCACGTCGAACACCCAAATATTAGAATCAGTACATCTTAACTCCTCTCAAGCAAAAACTAGGGTTCTTCATCTTCAAGCTTCAGTTTAAGGAATCAAGCTAGGGTCTCCATTCCAGGTGTGTGGAATTTCATCAAAGGGTATCTTTTCACTCATTGAGTCCCAAAGAAAATTGAATTTTTCAGATAATGATTTTTATAGAAGTTAGGGTTCTTATGAAAGCATGATTTTCACTATATTTTCCATTCTTCTTCTTGGATAGTTTGATTATGTGATTCCATCTATAAAATCAATACTTCTAAATAGTATTTCATGAATCCTCAAAACAAAATATTTTTCACGACTCAAAACTATGTTGTTTTTGATTGCATGTCACAGATTATCAATTTTCATGATTTAGAGGTGCTTTCAGATAAAATATCTATTAGTTATTATCAATTTATTAGTATTCATGAGCTATTCAGAATATCACTTTTATTCAGTTTATTTGTATTATCAGTTTAAATTCAATTGGGAGTGTTACTTAGCACCAAGCAAATTTACGGATGAAGGTTCATCCGTTAGTTAGGACTGAGACCTATAGTAGCAATCCATAAATCCCAAAACTACGTGTCACTATAGGATTATAAGGGTCACCCGTCAGACTAGGACTTACTCCTTTATGGACATCAGCTTAGCGGTACCATATTGATCACCCCCCATATCTTGGCAAGGTATAGTGGGCCCTCTTTGATGGGGATTATAACATTGAACTCCATGTTTAGCTCACATGGTTATATGTTGGTTATTAGATCTCCCACAGTCCAGTCTCAGATGTTGCATGACCTTGTAGTCAGTTATCCCAGTTTTCAGTATTTATCAGTTACGTGTTTTACCACTCAGTTATTTCACTTACTAAATACTTTCAAAGTAAAGACCGCATACTCTTCGCATTATATTGTTTTATAATATAGGCTCGAACGTTTAGCATTCATCCCGCGGTTAGTACGACTTCCAATCAGCTCAGCAGCACGTTTGGTGAGTCCTCATCTTTTGAGGACAACCTTTATATTTCTTTCAATAGTTAATCTTTTAGTTTTCAGACAATTAGAGTTAGTTAAGGGCTTGTCCTAGCAACTCATCTTAGTAAAGGCTTTCAAATAGACAATCAAATATGCATGTTAGCTTTGTGTTGTTTTCAGATGAACTCACTTTTGAGTATTTAAATTTTATATTTCAAACCACTCAGTTATTTTAGTTTAGCTTCTGCATTCAAATGAAGTTATTGTTTACATAAATCATAGTGTCATGCTAGGCCATGGGTTAGTTTGGATCACTTGTGGCTCTAAGCACCGTGTTACGACTAAGAGGTAGTCTCGAGTCGTGATGGATGGAAATTTGACCATCCAGAAGGAGAGACAGAGGATTTCCCAACATGTATACGGTGCACTGTTTGGGAAGAGAGAAATCAAAGGAGTTTTGAGGATAAGCACCACAACATCTAAAAGTTGAAGATGAAATGCTTAATCGCTTATTATTTTGGTGCAAGCAGGAAGGTTTAATAGAAGCAGAAGATATTTTTGATGATTTAGACAACAGTAAAAAGAAACGTAGATAGGAAGGCTTCCTTTTATTTGTAATTTGTTTACTATTTTGGGGGACTATACAGTTGTTATAGTATACCTGTTAATATATAGAATGTTACCATTATCAAAAAAGAAAAATGACAACGCTACAACTGTTATTCAATTTTAGTCCTACGCATTTAACTTATAAAGAAAAACAATTAAATCCTATGCATTTTCCTGTAATTTCTTCAGATATAGGTCATTAGAAAATAATATGCTTAAGAGTTAAGACAGTAACTTCATCAGTATTACAGCCAGCTTCTTTTACGGATGAATAAAGGCACCAACGACTGACATTCAAGGACTGTATGATGACCTGTTGTAGAGATTTTCATATCTAATATCAATAGAAGTGCTAACCTATTAAATGTTCACCATTACCCAAAATTTCAAGCAATGGTATCCCGAAACATCATTTGAGACGAAATTAGCTAGAATGAAGTTTGCCAACCTTGATAATAATATTGTTGAGTAATGGCTTCATCAAACCAGATAGAGAGTAATTCTCAATAAAGTTCTCAGAAAATTGGCATTCTGTTGAGGCAAGTTGTGAATTAAGAAAGTAAAACAGAAACGATGAGTAAAACCTAGAAAAGGAGGAAGCCTCCAGATAACAGATTCTCCTATTCCATATTCATCTTTTTGCTGCAAAGAAGTTTGAGCAGTTGAATTAGAGCTCTGTCAAAGCCAGTCAGAGAGACAAGACAAGAAGCACTGAGTAAAAAATTAGAATCTGGAGAAAACAATTTCTCCTGATCTTGCTATGGAAACAATATATAGTTGCATAGGAGACATCCTTTCTCCAATAGAATAAAGACTTGCAACAACTGGAAATACAAGAGCATTCATGGGGAACAAATCAATGCAGCTGAACAAGGAAATTAACTAGACGCTACAACACTAATTACCACCAAACCTAGAAAATTAATCAGCGACATGGTTTGACAACTAACATATGTAAATGTTATTATTATAATCAAGGTTTCCTCAACTAAAGAGTTATTTCTCAACATATTTCAATTTGATATGTTTTAATTTGCCCATATATAGAAACAACAACAGCATGCTCAGAGTAGTCTCACAAATGAGGTTTGGGGAAAGTAGGTTGTACACAAACCTTACCCCTACCTTTGTGAGGTAGAGAAGTTGTAAAGAGAAGTTATCGAAGCAGGGAAAATGTGATAGCAAAATAACAAGATACAAAACAAATACAAATAGTATCACACATTATAAAGAAACTAAGTGATTACTAACTACTACTGCTAATAGACTCCACGTACTCTGTTCTAGTCCAGCTTAATCTAAAACTTTTAGACTAGTATATGTGAGCTAGATTTCCAACATGATTTTGCAAGCTGTAGAAGTTGTTCAACTTGACCAAGATAATAGTAGAGAAGAAGTTGTGAGCAAGGATTAAATGAATGTTTGTTCCCAATGTTCTAAAGGAACCATTTAATCCACAAAAAGAGGGATCGAATCCCACCTATGTAATATTCCCCTCTATAGAGGACCCCATTAAAGATTGTTGTTACTTTCCTTCCAAATCCCTCAAGTCCAATTTTTCCTTTTCCTTATTGCCCTTTACTGATCTTAATTACAATCTTGCCAGACTATTGCATTTAGACAATCTAGCCAGACTATTGCAAGTTTTGGTATGCGACACAACAATTTTTCAATTCCTTTACACAAGTATTTATTCCATGAAGGACTTACTCACATCAATATTGACCCTCAATGAAGAGAAGAAACATACAACTTGATCAAGAATATCTTAAGACATTTTTAGAAAAACAATGAATAGAACAGAATGGGAACTTGAAAATCACCTGTCCCAGAGATGGTCCTCCACACAAGACCAAAGCAAGAAGGAAGGGTTTCAAACTGTTTGATATCAAGCTTCTTGTTAATAAACCCAACTCCCAGACGATGGCAAATCCACTCGAATCTCATTCACATTTAACCACAACAAGAATCTCTTCCTTCTAAATCAGTAATAGACCCAAGACTCAGCTTCCCAGTAACCTTGTCAGCATAATAAACCAAATACTCAAACTCCACATAACAAGTAAAACTTCCAATGTTCCATCATCGGAAATACTGTAGGATTTCACAGAGCGTCTTGAGGAAGGTTGAATTTTGTGAGTTGGGGTTAGTGGGTAGATTGACAGAAAAGCAAGAAGGAGATAAGAGGAGTAGGAGGAGGAGAATAGTCATTTGGACTAAAAACCTCCATTGTTGGATTGAAACTCCCCATTGTTCTCCAGAGAAAGAGGAGTAGGACGAGTGGGAAGAAAGTGATGGTTGTACACAACGGTTAAATAGTTGTACTGGAAATTGAACATTATCAAAATGTGGGTGACATTCAAAATTTGTATGATGTCCGCACATCAATCAATAAACTTAGGTATAAGTCCCATAAAGTTGTTTTTTTAAAAATAATATTCTCTCTATTCATATTAATTGATTATTTTATTAAAAATTGTTGTCTCAGGTCCGTTATTTAACTTACTAAATCAAGAAAAATATTAATTAAAAAATTCATATATCACCCTTGTTATTAATTTTTTTTTTGAAAGTGTTCATATTTATTTGTAAAATTCCCAAAAAGTTTTTTTAAGGCATGAATTAGTAAAATTATATATATTCTTATTTATATATTTTTAATATGTGTGTAAAAAAAAAATGATCAACTAATATGAGACTAATGGAGTAATAATAAATTTTACAAGAAAATTAGTGAAACATAAATAAATTTGACCACCAAAATAATAAATTTAAATTAGTCATTGAACAAAAAAGTCAAAAAAAAATTAAATACGGTCAAATATTTTATTAAATTATGTACAAATTTAAGTAGAAGTTGAATTCCGAAATTTTATGATCAAATATGTTTTTCGTAGTTCAACTTTCAAAAAAAGTGAAAAAAATTCATGATCAAACGAGTTCGAAATTAAACGCACGAGGAACGCGTAAGGTATTGATACTATTAGGTACCATTCCAATTGTCCAAAAAATTGTTTCTCCATGATTAACTCCTAATCGTGAGAGTAAATTTTTTCTGAAATGCACACAAAGTTATTGACCTGAAAAATCAAATTAATTCATTGAAAAATTTATTAGCTTTAGCCATAAGCAGCTCATATGGCGAAAGGCTTATAAAATATACCTAAGGTTCAAATTTTTTCATATTTGAAGGTTATGAGTATGACATTAATGACCACCGACTGCAATTGTCTTCTTGATTAGTGCAGTCTCTCACGATAATTATGTTGATTATGATGTGAAGCGTTTCTCAATTAAGTTTAAATTTGTGGTGAACTTGAATCAACCAATCAATCAACATTGTTCTAGTTGATCTCAAGTTGTGAATCCATGTAATGATGAACTCTTCAAATTAAAATTTTTACATTCAATATGAACAAGTTGAACAATCAATCTATTAACAACTATTAATTGAATCTCACCTTGAAACATTTACTACGTTTGTTAGTTTAAAGATTATTATGTCTTTATCTATTACTCTAAAGTTTTAAATGTAAGATAAAGTTGTTTGTTCATCATTGATTCTCCTAGTATCTCTTTCAATCAGCATTTTTAAGAATATTCATGTTAGATAGATGGATAGATAGATCTATAGATTTAAGCTAATAGGTCACTAGTTAGTACTGAGTGATTGATTTTATTGATGATTGCACAAAATGAACAAATATTTACATAATACTTTATCAAAAAAATTATGAGGTAGGAAAATGGGAGAAATGAATTACAAGGTAGAAAATTGAATCCTCACCAAAAAGATAAAATTTAATGTAATCAACCAATTGAGCTACTAAGATTAAACTAGCTAGAATTTAAAAAAAAAAACTAAAACTAGATCAAGCTTTACTTCTAAAATTTGATTAAGCTTTACATTGTGTATGGTATGCCTATTATAACACCTCATAACTCTATCTTCTATCGTAAGTATATAAGCTTGAATCGGGTGATGTCCTACTTGTGTTGATGTGTTAAGGTCTATTCCTATGTGCGGGAAGTGCATTGGAAGTGGTTTGGGTCATAAGAGACCTCTAGTACTTAGTTGAGTTCAAAACATTCCGACTAGCTAAGTTTTTCGCATTAATTCACTAAAGGGTCAACTTCAAATGATCATATCTCTCAATATATAATGCATTAGGTAGTTTATGACCTATCAAAATAAAGGTTTATAAAGCATTCTTTCCAACTCCACCAAGTTTGTCTCATTTAGAATTCTGAGTATGAAGTTATGACCGTTTTACCAAAGACTACCACAACAGAGTTTTTAAATTCAGTAACTACGAACTTGATCTACTGGTTGTAAATCGAAGTACGGCCCATACTATTAATTCATGGAAAAAGTTATAAAAGTCATCTTTTGGGTTCAATTCGTACAGACCGAGTTATGGGTCGTAGAAGCATCTACGAGCAATATTGGGCCCATATAATGAAGTTTTGAATGTTGTTTTTGGGCTTGAATTCTGCTGATCTAGTTACCGGTCGTTAACCAAATTACAGGCCATAATTTGGGTTCGTAGAATGAACTTCAGAAACTCAAAATTTTAGTCTGACTTCCAAGGATGAGAGCTATGGCCCGTAGATCAAAGCACATACTATAGATGGTCTCGTGAAAGGTTTTCGATAGTTTTTTATTGGGGTTTCCTTTTTCTTTTCTCAGTTTTTCTAAGTCGAAGCCACGATATTACGCATATCCTAAAAGAGTTTTCACGCTTGAGACTTAGTTCCTAAGCCAACGTAAGTACGACAAAAGCTAGAATTTTCAAGCATCTTCTTGAAGTTTCTTTAAGAACTTTATTCTTCCATGTATGTAAGGCTACTCATAGTGATGGACTAAGTTCGTCCTCGCGCCCTACATCTAAAACTCAGTTAGTTAGAGTAAAATCTAGGATTTTACCCAAGTTTTCATGAACTTTGAATTGACCTTTATTCCTTGCTATTGAATTCTGATTCTTATCATTGAGATTATAGTACTTCACCACTTCTTGTATTTTGATTCTTGAATTGTTATTCATAATTTTTTTATCACATGAATCCTATTTTGTCTAGAATTGTTGAAAGCATTTGCATAATTATTTTCATGCATTGACTTTTGATTTAAAGTAAGTTCAAGTATTTTAAGTTATCGGTTGAGAAGAGTTTTACTAGGGAACACTAATGATTCAAAATTAACTACAGTTTTTTTGTATTGAAAAAGTATTGCTAATTTAAGAAGAGCATAAATAGTTTCAGAAGAAGTTTCAGTCAGTAAAGTAAATATCAATTTTCCTAAAAAAGATATTTTTAGTATTAACTCGACCTAGTGAGTATTATTATATGAGAATTAATATATATATATTTTGGGAGTAGTATTGAGCACCGATTTGAATGAGAGTTAATACAACTCAAATCCCATAAAATATGCTGCCAATGTAGATAGGATCGTATCGAAATTTGGGCGACTCCTCACCATTTTCAAGAAGGCTTTTAGTGGATCCATACGTTAAGTTGTGTCCTATACCCCATCAAGGTATATGACAGTTCTGGCAACGTGGAAAAGACGTTGTATCATCACGAGGCTCATAGTGATGGTTGTCGGTTAGAGCAATCCCGACAAAAAGTAAAGTATATTATTTCAGTATTTGTTATTATTGCATGTCTATTGTAAAGCTTTTTAATGATTTCATTCATTTTCATATTTTACTTAAGTTGAATTATTTTTAGTCTTCATTCAGTTCAACTATCTATTTCCTTCAGCTTTATTACATACCGTACATTCCTCTTCCTCTTCTGCTTCTTCTTCTTCTTCTTTTGCTGCTTCTTCTTCTTCTTCTTCTTCTTATTTACCATCTCCATTATATTTGATTTTTCTCTTCGACTTTTGGTGGTTGATACAATTGATGATTGAGTTTAAAAATTAAAACATAATGATGAATTTGTTGGTGGTGGGTAACAAAGATGTGGGAATGAAGGTGGTGAAGAAGAAGAAATCAATATTGATAATGGTGGTGGTGATATTTGATGGTGGGTTTGTACCTTTTGATGGTAATGATGTGATTTTAGTGATGAGTTTGATTATGAGTGTTGAATTTTGTGGTGTATCTTTACAATTTTTGTGGGGACGATGGTGATTGTGTGATTTTGATGGTGGATTTGATCGTAAGTGGTGAAATTTGTGGCAGCTATTTTGATTTTTTATGGTGAAGTATATAAATTTGGTATTAATAGAGTGGCAATGGTAGTGGTTCCATGGTGGTGTTCATTGAAGAAGAAGCAATTCATTGACATGGATAAAAAAAATTTTGAAATCTGACATCTGATATGTCAGTGAGATGACATTAATGTGGTACGAATGTGATACACCTCCCATTGTGAGAGTAGTGTTATACATTTCAGGGGGGAAATAATTTTATTTTTGAGTAGTACATGTGTATAGTAGATCACCATATAGTTAAACCGTGTAACTGACTTTTCGGGACAAGTTCAGAGGTGAAGTTATGTCTTTTCCAATATTATTTTGTAGGTATTAGATGTAAAAATATCCAGAGGAGGAAATAACGAGAAATTACCATAACACTGAAATCCAAGACCTTTGATTAAGATATGACCATGGATCCCATCGTGAAAATATTTAAACAAGGTGCAAAAAGAATGCTCCGCAAATGATCAAGTTATGAACATTTGAACAGAATCAAGTTGACAGAAAGACCTATGAACTCATGGACCGAGGATCAATCCACTATGGAGGATCAGAAACCCTAAGGCTGAACATCTAACAAAGTATAATGTATACAACATATGGATGAGACCGTCGATGGTGTCTGTGGATAATTTAATTTAAAGGATTTCAAATTTGTGGGTCATCATAAATATTTTTCGTAGGTTTATTTTTGTTATAAAGAGTCATCAAAATTGAGTATTTTGTAAATTGCAATATTTCTTTCTCTAGTTTTCGAAGATTTTGTAAAGAACGAAGAACAAAGTTATTCCTACCATTTTTATTTCAAAGTAAGCATTATGACTTCAATCAATTCTTGTTATTCCTTTCTTTTTGCTATGAATAACTAAATCCTCTATCGAGGTTGTGACCCAATAGAGTTGTAATATTCATAAGGTTTTTGTGTGTTGTATGGTTTTTGAGAACTTGTATATCCAACTATTTGTTATATTTCTTGATTGGTTTGTAATTGCAAACATCAATCTATGATATAATATCTTAGTTTTTTCTTGAGAAAGGGAATTAGAATTTGATAGAAATAGTTTGCATGAATTCAAGGCGCTAACCTTTGTTTAATAGATTCTCTTAGAGAAAAGTTGAATTGACATGACATAATTAGTTGTTCTTACCTAAATAACTCGTATAAAT